TAGCGAGGTGAAGGAGTGCCTCGGTGGCCGGGGATCGAACCACGAACCACCTGCGTGGTTGGTGAGCATTCTACCGCTGTGCCACCTACACACAGAGCAAATAATGGACCTAAGAAATTCGATAGTCGACAAGCTAAGAGAATGGCAACAGTGATCTTGAAACGAGCTGTCCATTTCAAAAGGCAAGCCCGGGTCCCCTACTCAACTCTAACAATCCCTAATATATCCCTCCCTTACCAGACCCAAAATCTCATCTTTCCCTAAACCCATCCGAATCCTTTTGAGGCAGCCTGCTTAAAACTTAGGTTACCGAAAAGCCCCATCAATACAGTCTGCATATAATTTCGCATATATTCAGTTTGTTTAAATCCACTAAAGTATGATCTGTGATAGTATTGTTTACTCCGGTGAGTATTTAAAATATTTACAACCTGTTGATTCACAAGTTTCTACTAAACATGAGGTGGAAAAGCATTATCCTCGATAGATGGCGACAGCTTATCCCAATACATGAGATGGCTGTTCCCAATTGGTGTCCTTGGTTCGCAAAATGTACTCCTGGACTTTTTATAATCGACAATCAAAAAAAATCGTGTATTTGTTGAAAACATCACAATGGACTGGTTTCGGCGTTTCAGTTCAGATAAAACTGTGTCACACGATCCATTGTCAATTAATCTTTTTCGAATTCGACCACGGATTGATATCAGTTAGAGAACCATTGAAAACTAGCAGGAAGTACTGAACGGTTGTTTCATCAGCTTAGTTTGGGTCTCTTCATCAGTACGCATCCACTGCCAGGATTAGAACCCAGGACCGTCGTCTGGTTACAAGGCTAGCGAGCTCGTATACCATACAGCCACTGGGACCCGATTCAATGGCCAGCCCACGAATTCTAACTCTTACGAATTCTTGATTTTTAGCGCGACTGGCACCACCCAATGTCATCGGTGGGAAATCCATCACTACTCCCGACTAGATGCATCTCACTGGTCACGACTTCTCGCGGGCCATTGGATCGTGTCCTAGTGGTTGAATGGTCCTGAGAGCTTGCGTTGTAACTGGAAGGTGCTGGCTGTAACAAAATGACTGACTATCTGATCATTTTTCCTGTTAGTTCAAATCGACTGTTTAATAAAAGAGAAATGATTTGTAGTCCGACTGCTTTCCATAAAATTACATACAAACGAGGAGTGAAATTTGATGGTTTATTATTCATCTTGATTATCACTCAGTTAGGCGTTAAAACAATCAATAATTTCCTCTCATGAGTCTGGAAGAATGTTCAGTCAGCCATAGATACAGCCGTAAAAGCTGTGAATAAGGTAAATCCAAAGGTGAGTAAAAACCATTGGATTTCGACTGCCTCATCCGAACTGATAGATGCTAGAAGACTTATTCCGGCGAGCTCCGGATTCAATGAGGAGCGAAAGCTGCACAAACGGAAACTTACGAAAAGTCTCCGCAAGGACCGTGAACAGTGGTGGGTGACAAAGGCGAAAGAGATGGAAAAAGCATCGGCGATAAGCAACACTAGGCAACTCCTTAGACTCATCAGGGAAACAGGTGGGAGAAGGCAAATCATAAGTGAGACTATTTCTGAGAAAAATGGCTCCTTAATTAGCTCTCAGGATACACTCCTTGAACGCTGGAAGGAACACTTTAACTTGCCTACAGCCACACTGAGCCTCCCCGCCATCCAGCACACACCCGAATGGCACATAGACACTGACCCGCCGTCTGTAAGTGAGGTCACAAAAGCTATCTGTAATCTGAAACGAGGCAAAGCGGCAGGACCCGACGGAATTATTCCGGAGGTGTTTAAATATGGGGGTGACACACTAGTATATAGTTTAACTAAGGTACTAGGTAACGTCTGGGAATCAGAGACGGTTCCATCAGATTGGGGTAAGTCACTTATTATACCAATATTCAAGAAGAGAGACAAGTCCTCATATGATAATCATAGAGGAATCAGCCTGACGCACATAGTCTCTAAAATCCTAGGTTCAGTAATCATGAACAGACTAAGCCGAACTCGGGAGGAACAAACGAGGGAAAATCAAGCGGGCTTTAGGCCAGGTAGAGGGTGCATAGATCATATCTTCACTCTCCGACAGATCCTAGAACATAGACACACTTTTCGGCGTCCAACAATAGCCATATTTCTTGACTTGAAGGCGGCCTTCGACTCCGTGGATCGAGAGGTACTATGGCAGTGTTTGACTGTGAAGGGAGTGCCAAGAAAGTACATTGCACTAATCAAGGCACTCTACTCAAACTCACGTAGCCGTGTAAGGGCTTATGGGAAATTGTCATCCGAATTGATAACAACCAGTGGTGTCCGTCAAGGATGTCCACTTTCCCCTTTTCTGTTTAACTTCATCATAGATATGCTAATGGAAGTATCCTTAACTGAAGTTAACGACTTAGGAATCGACTTGTTACCAGGGAATAGTCTTACGGCCTTAGTATGCGCAGACGACATAGTCCTTATAGGGGAGGAGGCTGACAAAATGCAGAGTCTTCTGAACACCTTGAGTAGCAATCTTCGTATGTTTGGCATGCGATTCGCCTCTGTAAAATGTAAAATGCTGCTACAGCACTGGACTACGTCAACTCCAAGCTTAGTGATAGGGAGTAAACTGATAGAATATATTGACCACTTCACCTATTTAGGAAGTTGTATCAGCACCAACGGATTGATTGGTGACGAAATCTCAACACGGATCCAGAAAGCTCGGGCTGCTTTCGCTAACTAACACCGTCTCTGGCGTAGGCGTGTCATCCGGCTATCAACCAATGGACGTGTGTACTGCTCAGCGGTTCGCTCCGTCCTTCTCTATGGCGGTGAGACGTGGCCATTGAGAGCGGAAGACATGAAGAGATTGTCTGTCTTTGACCACAGATGTTTACGATCTCTTTCCCACGTTAGGTGGTATAATAAGGTAAGTAATGTTGACGTTAGGCGTAGAGTGTTGGGCAAACAGGGAAAATCAATCGAAGAGGCTATAAAGTTACATAGATTGAGATGGTTAGGCCACGTGCTGCGCATGCCTAACCATCGTCCCCCTCGGTGGACGGGCATTACTAGCTGATATAGGTGCAGGTTGGAAAAGAGTAAGTGGTGGCCAAACAAAAACATGGCCTCATCAATCCATGAAATCCCTGACAGTTGAACTGAGTCAGTCAGGTAGGGAGATGCACACTTCCGGGTTGGGGCCCACCCTCGGGACTCTAAGAATCAATGGCTGGAGACAATAGGTGACATGGCTCAAAATCGTTGTCAATGGCTTACGCAGATGTATTCAGTCTCTCTCATCTTTCATATTCCTTTCTACCATTACTCATTCTGTTTCACACTTATACTTGTCAAAACTCTATTGATTCTCTTCACTCATCTTCTTGTCTACCTTTGGGTGCTATTTGGAACATGGCAACTCGAATTGCTGCACTTCGGAGCCAAGTTCTATGTTGAATCCAGCAGCAGCAGCAGCTCATGAGTATACATCACTTAATAATCACTTAATAATAATGTGAGACGGAGTATTTTTTGTAGAAACTGCTAAGATGTGAGATGACCAAGATAGATCAGAAGAAGGAAAGTCAATGCAAAAAGAGGATAACAGCACTGATGACTATCAAATAAAATGGATAAAACTGACACAAGTTGATAATTACATTGTTGATTTCATCACGAACCAACATCAGTTAGAGATCAGCGAAAACCATGGAGCACTGAACAGTTGTCTACTCCTAGTTTAGGCCTCAAATAGGACGAAATGTGCATCCCGAATTCCACTGCTAGTCATTTCGCCAACCAAAATAAATTCTTGTTAGTCCTAAGATATCGTCGAAGCCTCCGACATGAGAACAAACACCAATTTAACATAACTAACCAACAGGAAATGCGGCCTAACCTAAGACAAAGTATATGATTGGTTACAGGATTTCATCATGAGTTTACACCGGTCAGAGAACCATCGGAAAACCAGCTGGGAGTACTGCCAGGCAGCTGTTCCCTCCCTAATTTGGGACGTTCCCGCCGGGATTCGAACCCAGGAACTTCTGGTCACAGGGCTAGCGAGCTCGTAGACCGATGAGCCACTGAGACCCACCAATCTAATGGCCAGCCCATGAATTCCAACTTCTGCCAATTCACGATATAGCGCGACCGCTAGCCAATGTCTTTTGCGAGTATTTGTCTTCACACTCGACCTTCTGCACCCTACTGGTCACGACATCCCACTAGAATCTCGAGTGACTACCTACCTGAATGGAGCCAGTCGCTAGTGAACATCTCACTGATATCCAAGTATTCAAGTAACCAGGAAGTACTGAACAGCTGTACTCCCAAGTTTTCCAATGGTTAGACACTGAACAAAGAGTACTCTTTTCGATAAATTCATCATCAGGCTCTACAATTATATATACATTATAATGAATGAATGAATTAGTCTTATGAACGACATTAATGTTTAAATAACATCAAATCAATAATATTGATAGATTACAACAGCTGAACAGCATCAACTTAAAATAAACTGAATGTCAGGAGAATCAGGAAAGGTAATAGTACAAATTCATGAGTTTATAGTCTCTACTGAGGGCCAGGGCAGTAGTAGGGGCTGGACTTGTTTCTTTTGGACACAGAGCACTGGTTGTTTGAGGCGAATTGCAATAGCCTCTGCTGTTTGGAGTATGCGGTGCTTCGACGATTTTGGTAGTTTGTTAGGCACCCGGTATATTATAGAGAAGGATTGTTCAATGCTGGCTTTGTGACCGGTTTGCACCAGATGGTCTAATGGTTCTCTAACCGATGTCAACTCATGACGAAATCCTGTAACCAATCAATGAAATCCCTGCAAACCAATACTTGAATAACAAAGAAAATGATTTATTTTATTCTCTCCATTACTACCGCTAGCTGGTTTCAATATCATACTCATTCTACCGTGTTCTACCTTGTTTTGCCTTTCTTTCTTTCTCTTTTTTAACAGCTTGTTCGTGCTATCTGGTTATTTCATGTATCTAAAGTGGTTGAGTGTTTAGATACCTTCTTTTTTATCATTCGTGGACGGACACATCTTGTTACATGGTTACATGTTTATCATCATTGTACAATGATTCCATTAACATGGGCTGGTGTCAAGTGGGTAGCCGGTGGGGAATTATTTCAACCAGTTGCTGTGAATAGTTCAGTTCATGTGATAATGTATAGTTATTATGCATTGGCAGCACTTGGACCTAATTGGAGAAAATATTTATGGTGGAAACGTTATCTAACATTGATACAAATGGTATGTTTTTCAAATTAATTAACTTGTTTTATTTTATATTCTTATGCTGATTAGTTTCTACTGTTCAAGTATTAGTTTCTGTAGGGATTTTGTTTGATTGGTTGGAGGATTTCATCATGAGCTGACATCAGTTAGAGAACCATTGGAAAAGCCACTCGGGAGTACTGCCAGAGATCTGTTTCGTATGCCTAGTTTGGGACTCTTCATCCATACCCACTACCAGGATTCGGAACCAGGACCTTCATGCTACAACGTTACTACATTCCAACCGTGGTGGGTGCGTAGTGCTGAAGGGTTCCAAACTAGACTGACGAAACAGCTGTCTGGCAGTGCTCTCAGGTGATCTTCCAATGGTTTTCTAACCAATGTCACCTCATGATGAAATCCTCCAACTAATTTCCAATATTAAATATGTCCAAACCAAGTTCACTTTTAACAATTTGAAAAAATCTGGACGTTGGGTATATGATATTAATCATAATAAAGGTGTTTTGTATTTCCCAATGAATGAATGAAAAACAAATCGATATTGTTGTGTTTACTGACGTTTTGCTATTTAATGCTGCTGCGAATATCTTTATCAAAGTAGTGATATTAAACCAGAATTTTCAAAATCAGTTTGACCACCGAGAAGTCCAGTTGAACTAGAAAAGCTTGAAAAATCATCAACCAGCCATAGGTCGTCTACACACTACGCGCTATAGAATCAGGCCACAAAATTGATTTTGACAGTATTGAAATCATCATCCAGAAAAAGCATTTCAGAAATCACACAGAACGTCTCGTTTCATCAGAAGCACTTCATATTAAGTGGAATCGAAATTGTCTGAATAGGAATAATGAAATAAAACAGAATCTGACCTGATTACAACACCCCCCTCCCCATGATGTAAAAAAATCAAGGCGAATATGATAATCAATTTCATTATGTAAACACACACTGCTTTTATAATTTTACACACTTATCAAACCCACCAATCTACACCTGGTTCTGTTATCTTTACCAATTGGCCTATTTGACAACGAAAAATGACTCTATGTTGAGGGATGATGATTAAGTTGTCATATATAAGCTGAGATTTAGTAAATTCTGGTTTAATAATACTTTGATAAAGCTATTAGCACTAAATAGCGAAGTGTCAGTAAAAAACAACAATATCGTTTTGTTTCTCATTCATTGGGAAATACAAAAAACCTTTTATTATAATGAATAATTTCTAATGTAACTAAAAGTCTACTCATGTTTGTAATCTCCTGTTAAGGTATATGGACTGTTTCAGCGAAAGTTTCGGTATCGCCAAGACGAAGGACTCAAAGTTACTTCTTTGTTAATGGCTAGCAAGAGAAACTGGGCATCTGCATTTCGCTATAGTTTAGACTCGTCGGTTGTGTATACACTTGTTACCCAATGAGTAATGATATTTCCACTGAGACTGGAACCTAGGAACGATAATTTGAGATGTTCAAAGGATTATCCACTGAAGCAAAAGATGGCTTAATGTTATGTGGGATTGTCGAAAGTATTAAGTATAAGAATTATATACAAGTTATAACTTTGTGAAGTTGGCAGAAGAAGCATCAAAGATAGGACTTCAGGTGAACATAGAGAAAACAGAGGTGATGAAGATTCCTGGACAAGAACAACAACAACAGACAACGATCAGCATAAATGGAAGGAACCTGAAAGAAACAACCTCTTTTGCCTACCGACCTGGGAAGCACCGTTTCCACTACAGGCGGACGGAACTGACGAGGATATCAAAGCATGAATCGGAATAGCAAGACAAGCTTTCACTACTCTCAAGTCTGTGTGTAGATCAACAGCACTCAGCATCAAAAATAAGGTCCGGATTTTCAACTACAATGCGAAGTCAGTGCTACTCAATATACGGATCAGAGACTTGCACTGCGCGTCATAAAAAGCATCCCAAACAAGCTACAGACCTTCATTAACAGTTGTCTTCGCTCAATACTCAAGATCAGATGGCGAGAAAAGATCAGTAACAGAGATCTCTGGCAATGAGCGAACCAACCCAGCAGGAACCAATTGTGAAACAAACAGGCAGGAAGAAATGAAGATGGGTTGGCTGGCCATACTCTGAGGAAACAAACCATCAAGTGACATCACTAGACAAGCCATTGCTCGAGTGGAAGCCGGAAGGGAAGCGGCGAGTTGGTCGTTAGTGCAAGGGTGACTTGGAGGAGGTCATGCAAAGAGGAGATGAAAGCATGTGTTCAGACGTGGAGCCAGGTGAAGACTCTAGGAGAGAACCGAACGCAATGGAGACGGATGGCTGAAGCCCTATGTTCCTCTACGAATTAAAGGAAAAAATAATAATGACTTTGTGACGCTGTAGCTTTTTGAAATTGACATTCTTTTGACTGCAAGTGCGTTCATTTGTTTGAACACGGTTCCGTTAACGAAAGTTTGGCCAACCAAACAGTGTCGTGAGCTTCCATATAATAGGCGCAGTTCATAGTTGAGTTGAGTAACTAGGTAACACTCCATCATGTCATTAGTTGTTATTTGTTATTGGGTGGCCTTTATCTAATCTACGATTAAAGTAGTTACAAATCGTTTTTCAGACAAGGTTATAATAGTCTGACATATGCGTGTGTTTGTTTTATTCCCTTTGTTAGTATTTAAGCCCATTTCATAATCCCCGAATGTGTTTTTTATTTACAATCGGTTGATGTTTAATCCCTGAATCTGATTATTCTATAAGTAGGGTTAAGTTAGAAAAAAGGGAAATGTTACTCAATAACCACCTGCATTTTCATACAGTTGACAAGGAGTCATCACCTTCTGTATGTGTGTGTGGTTGTGGGGTGCTGTCACGTGTGATCCCATGTTTTGAAATCGAGCATCATATATGATTAATACACAGGACAGTGGAACTAATGTAAGAGTAGAATTCTCGTATTGCGACAGAATACAATACCATATTCGATTATTGGAGGCATTCAGTAGGAAGCCCAGCCAGCTGACCTAGGTTTCGTGCTAAATGGCACTCACCAGTACAGTTAGCAAGACGTATTTACAATCACAATTACAAAACAAGAACCAATCGCTCAACAAATATGCAGGAGAAAGTGGAGATGGATTGGACACTCGCTGAGGAGGCCGCTGGGTGACATCGCGCGTCAGGCCCTTGAGTGAACCTGACAGGGAAGTGGGGAGTGGGACGTCCAAGGGTGACACGGAGGAGACCGTGTGAAGAGGAGCTGAAACAGTATGGACTAACATGGATGCAGGTGAAAAGTACAGCAGAAAACAGAAGCAAGTGGAGATGTGTAGTTGAAGCCCTATGTTCCACTAGGAACCCAAGGGAACAATAATAATAATAATAATAATAATTTACAATCACCTTGAAGCAATAGCTCATATCCCTTCTGAGATCCAAACCCACGTCACCCAGTGCTGAAGTAGTGTCAGTTAGAGACGTTACCACTGAGCTATTCCGGCTCACAATTGACCTCCTGTAAGACTGTACTGGATATTTTTGTTTGGACACTAGTCAATAACCTGTGTAATGTGTGTAGTCCTGTCTTCAGTGCAGACTGAGTGCCAACTAGCACGAAACCTAGGTCAAACAAGGCTTCCTGTCCATTGCATCTAATCATCTAATATCATCAAATCAATGTACACTGTGATGGCGAGCCACCTAGTGGCATCCTGGCCACACTGCAAACTTGACTGATAGAATTCAGTCTGCAGAAGACAAAAGGACTAGACACACTACACTAGTCACTGACTAGTGTTCAATCAAAATTCAATACCATATTAAGTAAGCTGAGATATTGAGTAAAATGGAATCAAGTAAATAAGAGGGAAGATATGACATTAGTGAATAAGTGTTTATCAGATTTATCCAAAAATTTATCAATATCTATTAGAAGAATAGAAGTAGTAATGTAAGTGATGAAAGTATTACGAATAATAGAGAATAGAGAGAGACCTCAGTCTTATTACCATCTAAAGAAGGAACACTAAAGATCCTGTGTAGGATTACTGATAAGGCTGGAATAACGATGTGGCTTTATCCAACCAATTCACTCAGAAATAAACTCTATAGGCTTAAGGATCCGACAGACGTGGTAAGGAGAAATAATAAAATTTACTCAGTACCGTGTAATGCTGACTGTGAAGTCAACTACATAGGCCAAAGTAGTAGTAGATCAGGGTTAATTCCATTTTGGGTAAAATTTATGTTGATAAAGTCTCACAATGTGTTATACAGTAATATTTACGAATGACCACGTTTAGAGCACAATTTGTTGCTGCTCATAATCATATCAAGGCACTGCTCACACAACTTTCCAACTGCGTTTATATTATTCCATTACTTTTCGTCGCTTGACTTGATTGGTAGTAGTATTTTCCATATTTCCGGAATGAGTGATGAGTCATTCCTAATGCACGTGTGTTGGGTGCCGACTCGATGAACAAGGATTCAATATTCAAACTAGTAGATCGGATGTTGTCAGATTATCAGAACATAAGAATTTAGCTAAGTTTAGAATGGTTGACCCCGAGAACATAAGTAATTTAGAAAAATGCTCAGCAATTGCACTGCATGCACTATCACACACACACACACACAACGACACAATAGGGTGAGTGGGACAGAGTAAAAATTCGAAAAAGTAATATTAGTAGGTAGAGAGAGAGAGAGAGGTTCATTACTGAATCCTTGTTCACCGAGTCTACACCCAACACGTAAAATAAGGAATGACTCATCAGTCATACCAGAAATATGGCAAATACTACTACCAATCAAATCAAGCGATGAAAAATAATGGAATTATATAAACGCAGTTAGAAAGATGTGTGATTGCCTTGATATGATTATGAGTGGCAATAAATTGAACTCGAAAGTTGGTCATTCGTAAATATTACTGTATAACACATTGTGAGACTTTATCAACATAAATTTTACCCAAAATGGAATTAAACTCTACTACAGTGCACAAGTTGTTTTCTTATATCTTAAGATCAGGGTTAGTTAGGTTATCAAAACTTGAGAACATAACTAGGTCCCTTTAGGTTAAATAATCTTGGGAATTATTAAAACGACGGTTACAGTAAAGAAAATCTTTTTTTCGACAAAGTCATCAACTTCTGGAAAATGGGTGAGAAAGTTTCAGAACTCTTTCTTTCCGGCCAATGATCAAATGAATAAAATTACAAAGTGTAAGAAACGAGAAGATGGGATAAAAAAAAGCCTTGTTGAATCATAATTAATGAGAAAATTAACTAGGAAAAGTTCGGCCATTGCTATACATTCACTTGCATGTAATGAGACAGTGTGGGGTGGGATAGGGTATGAGTATCAGTAAGTAATATGGTTAGGCAGGGAAAAAAATTTCATTCATCAAATCAACACAAGAAAACGTGTAATCGGGACGACGCAACACCTATCTGTCATACGTGTAAAGTTGTAATATTCAGGAATTGGTTTTTGTAGCCATTCTATTTGTTGCTGGTTAGACCATGGATTTATATCAGTTAGAGAACCATTAGAAAGGCAGGGAGTACTGGACAGGTATTTCACCCACCACAGGGGCTTCAAAGCCTAAACATTCTGGTCACAAGACAAGCTCGTATAATATGCAGCAAGTGGGGCTCGACTCAATGGCCAGTCCATGAATTCTAACTTCTAGCAGTTTAGCGCGACCACCAACCAATGTCATCGGTGGGAACTCAATCCTTACTGCAGACTGGATGGACCCCATTGGTCATGACTTGTCACTAGAACTCCAAGAAACTTCGTCCTGTAGCGAGTATCAGGGTAATTTTCAAGAGTTGCTTTTTGCAGTGATTCTGTTTGTTTCAGGTTAGACCACTGACTGATACTAGTTAGGGGAAACAGGAGGGCATATGGTCAGATAAACCAAGTTAGGTAATCAGGTGAATACACTGATATGATTATGAGCGGTAAATTGTACTCGACATGTCGTCATCCAGTTATCAGCATTATGTCACTGTAAATTTTCGATTCAAAGTAATTTATCTGATATGGAAGCATAAAAAGTATCTTTAAAGAAAACCAGTATTATTATCTCTATTCACTCTTTGTGTTCCGAGTGGAAAGGCAAGGTTTCAGAAGCACATCTTCATTCCCTCCTGTTCCACGCCATCACTTCCTCCTAGCTTCAAGACTCCCTAAAAGCATTTCTGTCCACCTTTCATATTATCTCGATGGCACAGTTGCGTGCCGAACCTATCGGTTCCTATTCATATTCCACCAGAGGGCTTACTTGACGTATTATTTCACTCAACAGAATATTTAACATGTGTTCAATCTATCCACATTATCTCGCGCATATTTGTTAGGCAATAAGTTGTAGACTGGTTGTCTGCCAGTGCCCCTTGTTTCTGGCTTATCCTTTATTTGACCAGTCATTTAATCTTCAGTAAAGAGAGATCATAAAAGCTGACCTTGATTATGATAATTTAGATAACATACCAAGTAGATATCAGTAGACAAGTATCGAACATCAGGGAGTACTTGAAAGCTGTTCTATCCTAGTTTGGGAGAAATCGGCAGTACGCACCCACTGGATTTCGAAACCAGGACCTTCATGTTACATGTGCGTCGGTGGCACAGTGGTTAGGACTCTCGCTGACCATGCACATGGTCCGGGGTTCGATTCCCTGCCGGCGCACACCCGATATCTATGGTCGGCCTGAATTTGGGCTACCGATATCCATGCTGAAAATTTCATACTTGTACTGAAAATACGGTGTGGAATCAAGCTGTAAATCAAAAAAAAAAAAGGCGGGTCCATGCCGTTGAAGAGTCCAAAACTAGGTCGAAACAGCTGTCTTGTACTCCTAGCTGGTTTTCAGTGGTTCTCTAACTGATATTTATCCTTGATCAAACTGGAAACAAGTCAAAATTAATACGATGTTCACTAGCGACTGGCTGCAGAAAGAGGTTTCCTGAGATTCTAGTAAGAATTTCTGACTATTGGGGTTTCCCCCTTGTGGAATGAGGACAAATGCTCGTTGAATACATTGACTGGTGCCAATCGCGCTAAAATCACGATTTGGTAGGGGCTAGAACTAATTTACCATTGAGTTGGATCCTAGTGGCTGAATGGTCTACAAGGTTACCTCGTAACCGGAAGGTCCTGGCTTCGAAAACTGTCTGTGGATGCGTAATGATGACGAGTCCCAGACTGGGACGAAACAGCTGTTTACAGTGGTTCTCTACGTGTTATTATTAATCCATGACCAAACTTGAAATTAATACTCTACGGAAGAAGAAAAGAATAGTTTATTCATGAGTGTACATGAATCAAATTGTTGACGTCTTATCACGTATATTTTTGAAGTTGGTCTACACCCACATATATGTATGCGTAATAATTACTAATTTGCTTATTTACTTACATTCAAAACAGTGATTAAGAACAACGAAAACAAGAGCAACAACAACAAGAGCTGTTGATTTTACTTAACTTATTGTACAAATATACTTTGTGTTTTGTTTTGTTTTGTTTGAGTAAGTGTGAAACTAGAATATTTCTACTAAAGAGATAAACACATTCACAATGTAATTTCGGTCTTATGATACTTTCTAAGTAAGTGGTTCAGAAAAAAGTTCTTCCGCTTTAGCCGTACACAATCGCATTATTATTATTGTTTCCTTTAATTCCTAGAGGAACATAGGGCTTCAGCCGTGCGTCTTCATTGCGTTCGGTTCTTTGCTAGAGTCTTCACTCGGCTCCAAGTCAGCCCACATGTTTTCATCTCCTCTTCACAAGACCTCCTTCAAGTCCCCCTTGCACTGACGACCAACTCGCCGCTTCCCATTCGGGTTCCACTCGAGGGCTAGTCTACTGATGTCACTTGATGGTTTCCTCAGAGTATGGTCATCCAATCCATCTCCATTCCTTCCTGCTTATTTGTTTCACAATCGGTTCCTGGTTGGTTCGCTCCCTGAGATCCCTATTGCTGATGTTTTCTGACCGGCCATCTGATCTTGAGTATTGAGCGAAGACAACTGTTAATGAAGGTCTGTAGTTTGTTTGAGGTGCTCTTCATGATGCGCCAAGTCTCTGATCCGTATAGTAGCACTGACCTCACATTTGAGTTGAAAATCCGGATCTTATTTTTGATGCTGAGTGCTGTTGATCTCCTCCACACAGACTTGAGAGTAATGAAAGCTTGTCTTGCTTTTCCGTTTTGCCTTGACTTACCCATTTTTTCACAAAGGAGGAGAGTAACAAAAGTGATGAGTTATCACTATTGATGATAATGCAAATGATTGAATAGTTTGTTATTTTTTTGCATAGAGAACTTCGGTTTCTCCATCTGAATTACTACAGTTTCAATAATGTACAAGAGACACAGAAGTGTATTGTCTTTGGTAGGTTGTTCTTCACTCTATCGATTACTTTGAGGAATGAATTTGGTGAGATAGAATAACAAGTGTCGACAAGGCGTTGTTTAATTATTTCAATCTGTATAGAGCTTCTGTTGCATTTCTGTAACTGTTCTTGAAGCCTTTCAGATAGGAAAAGCGTTGAACGACCAATGTACTTGGTTCCACAGGAGTAGATGAGCGAGATGTTGTCTTTTGAGCCTCTGCAGACTAGTGACCGACTGAAGAATTTTTCTTTAGAGATGTTGAAATTCTTCTTCTAATTACACTGAAATTCAAGTCTCCCTTAAAATCAAAATGTCTTTTTTTTGGTACGAGTAATGTTCCTTATCCTCAAGATAAAGAAAGAGATGTGCCGGTGAGACAATCGACGGGGAACTGGAGTGACTCGAACAAGTCCTCATAGAAAAAGAATGTCCTCTAATATTTATTGAGAAAAACATAAAGTTAAAGTAAAAGCCTGAAAGAACCCAGACAGTTCCTAAGAAACTGCTATTTATGAACGTCGAATTTGTTTTTTATTCCTTTGCTTTCCCAGTGGAACATAGGGCTGCTTCAAGCTGGAGGCTCGAAGTTTCAGTAGCAGTGGTGTTTATTTTTACAGGATAGGGTTGCTAGCTTCATGCCCAACCTTGTCTCTTTACCAGTCTTATTACTGGCTCAGCAAGGTTTGGGAGTGTGTCAGTGGCCGGTGATCAAACCCAGGACCACATGATGCATAATTGGCGAGCATTTTACCACCGTGCCAGTGATGCAAGGAAGCCCTCTAGTGGAACCCGAATGAGAAAAGTCGATTTGGGCGTGGGTTTGAGGACGAGATGGAGAATGTTGTGTGATGAGGAGATTAAAACTTGTGCGAAATGCAGATGTGTTTTTGAAACCATATGTTCCACTTGGAACCTAAGGGAATAACAGTGATTTAATAAATGAAAATGTATCCACTGTTATGTTTTGCCTTTAATACTCGATGAAACTTTTTTTACCCCCCTTCCACTATTCTTTTATCACTTTTAAACAGATCCAATTCACCTATGGTATGCTGTACTCATGTGTATCACTGTGTATTCAATGCAGTTTACAAAAGCCCGTTTATGGCTTAAATCTATTCTATGAAGGTAGTCTATTCTTATTATTCTACAAATATTATCGACAATCTTATCATAAGCCTAAAGGAGAGAAAGCAATTAAAACGGTAAGTACATAAATTCGCTTTTGCTTAGTATCATTATTATTACCATTTTCCTTGGTTATTTCAGTTTCTTTTGTCAATTATGCCTTGTATTTTAAGCGTTTATTTGCAAGGATTCGATTGGAGTTTATGGACCCCGCTAGTCACGATGTCTCATTAGAACATCAGATAAATTCTTGTATGCAGCCAGTCGTTAGAGTGCATCAGATAAATTTCTAAGAGTTCGTTTTTTCAGGTTTGATCACTGACTGATACGATTGAGAGTACCACCGAAAATCAGCTGGGAATACTGAATAGCTGTTTCTCTCCAGTTTGGCACTCATCATCAGTACTTAGCCACCGCGACTGTGACAGTAAAGTTACATCGATTGAGATGGTTAGGACATGTGTTACGCATGCATGTCTAGCCGTCGACATGCCTTCCTCAACAACAGGCAATGTTGGCTGACATAGGACTGATCAGGTTGGAAAAGAGCTAGTAAGTGGTGGTCAAACCAAAACATGACTTCATCAGTCAATCAAATCCATAACAGTTATTTTAAGCCATCTAATCACTTAGAAAAATGTAGAGTGGCTTGTTAGTTGGGGTCCTCGGGACGGTAAAAACCAGTGACTGGAGAAAATTGGTGATATGGCTCAAAATCCTCGTTCTCAGTGATGCCGCAGATGTATCCACTCCTTGTGACTTAAAATTTCCAAGTAAACTATATTCTACTTCGATAATACTATTCTTTTTGCCTTATATTTCTGTTTACTGTCTCTATTTTGCATTTCTTTTTACTTTCTTCTCTGGCTTTGCGTGTTGAGTAAAGTGTGACGAATTGAACTGCTGCACATCGGTATAAAGTTGTACACCCGATATCTATGATCGGCCTGAATTTGGGCTACCGATATCCATGCTGAAAATTCCACACTTGTACTGAAAATACGGTGTGCAATCAAGCTGTAAATCAAAATAAAAAATAAAAAAATACTTTGAAAGCAGTCAGTCAGTCAGACTTACCTATCGGAATGCGAACCCCCGACTTTTCGGTAGCGGTAAAATCACGAATTGGTATAAGTTAGAATTTGTGGTCCACTAAGTTGGGTCCCAGTGGCTGAAGAGTCTACCACCTTGTCTTATGACAGGAAGGTCTTGGGTTCGAACCCCCCTGTAGTGGATGCCTACTGTGGATGAGTTCCAAACTAGGATGAAACAGCTGTCCAGTACTACAGTGCTGGTTTCAATGGTTCTCTAACTTATATCAGTCGGTGATCCGTAGAAATTAACACTTGAAAATAAATCAATAAATAAAACAACTTAACTTTAATAATAAATGAACACAGCAGGTAAAATGATTATAAATGATCAAAGAAAGATAATAATATTTTGATTGCACACTAGTCAGTAACTAGTGTAATGTGTCTAGTCCTATCTTCGGTGTAGACTGAATTCTATCCGTCATGTTTGCAATGTCGTCACCATGCTAGGTGGCTCACCATTACGGTGCACTGTGAATTGTTGGTATTAGATGCTTGGAGGCAATCGGCAGGAAGCCTTGGACCTAGGTTTCGTGCTAACTGGCACTCACCAGTACAGTCAGCAAGGCGTATCTGCAACCTTGAAGGAACTGATGTCCCTTCTGAGATTCAAACGCGCGTCGCTCAGTGCTGCAGTTAGTCAGAGATGTTACCACTGAGCTATCCGGGCTCACGACCGACTTCCTGTAGGACTGTATTGGATACCTTAGATTGAACACTAGTCAATAAAAGACAGATTTAGCGAAGAAAATTTTCTTTATCGACGAAATCATCTTCAGAGGCTGTACACTCGTATTTATACTTACAAAAATATATAGTGGTCTATGATTGAGTAGTAGGGGTGGGTGATATAATTGATATAATTACTCAGAGGTGCCTTTAGAAGTGAAAATTAAATGTTGTATATTACCTGGTACTCAACGGAACAAAGATAGAAATTTGATAAGGTTAAAGTCGCTATTGAATCAGAATAAAGGCAGTTGAGTGGCAATTTAACAAGTGTGAAGAGGGTGTGAAAATATACAAAAGGAGCATATGAGAGTGATAATAGTGAATTTATTATTAAAGCAAAAGCAAACTAAAAGGAAGACTACAAATTACAAAAAAGAAAAGAAAAAATCAAAATTTTTATCAGGGAACGATTAGTGAGAAGGTTAAGACTAAGGTAGAATAAGAGACTGGACAAACCTTCTCTGTATACAGAGTTCAGGGTCGTATTGATGAATTTCCAGCGCCTCCGCCATACACAAATGCCAAAGCCTGACGCCCTTTGTACCATTTGGCTTCACTTTGTAGATGATCTTGAAAGACGACTCTGGTGGGGCTACGTAGCCTGAGTTCACCAAATGCTCGAGAATTGAGCTAGTAATTGTCTTACACTGTCCCTTTGCTAACCATGCCGGATAATGTTCGGAGATGCGTTTGGAAAGCGTGCGCTTTGTGCGGCCAATATAACTAGCTCCACACGAGCAGGTGAATTGATAAACACACATTGAGGTGACCAGTCCAAAACGGCAGTTTATCCTTCACACATCCGTTGATCATTTGTCGCCTGTAGAAATTGTTACGTAGCTCAGCCATAAAGAAGGCTTTCCTCAGTGATCTGCATAACCGATTCTTTAGGATCTCAGCTGCGGTATCACCTTTAAATTCAACACTCATAAATAGCAGTTTCTTTGGCACCGTCTGGATTCTTTCAGGCTTTTCCCCTAACTTCATGTTTTTCTCGATAAATCTTGGAGGATATCCATTCTCTATGAGGACTTCTCTGAGTCGCCCCAGTTCCCCATCGATTGTATCACTTGAACATACCCTCCTTGTTCTTGAGGTTAAGGAATGGATCAGATTTCTCTTTCTTCTCAAAAGGACCCAGCTATGGAAATTTGTGTACTGACCATTCCATGTTGGTTTCCTGTAGATCGATCTTTGAAGAGAACCATCCGATCTCCTCTTTAGAAAAACATTCAAAAAATGGAATTCCGAGTTATTCTCTGATTCTGACGTGAACTGGATGGCATGATGGCAGCTGTTGAATTCTTTAGTTATCAATTCAATGTCGGTATTGTCGTCACATATGATAAAACTATCATCCATGTATCCTTGGTACAGATGGAAACTGTCGATAGTAGGCCGAAAAATACTTTTCTCCGAACTAGCCAAGAAGCAGTCTGCAAGTAAAGGACCCAATGGTGACCCCATTGCCACTCCATCTCTTTGTCTATAAATCGTGTTGTTGAACTTGAACTGGACATTTAGAGTGCACCTCAATAGTAGTTCCTTTAAGTAATGGATCGGAACACATACGTCTACATTATTATCCTCAATGAATTTGCATATAAAGCATATAGTTTCAGTGAGGGGAACGTTGGTGGAAAGTGAAGCAACATCCATTGATATCATTTTCTTTTCTTCTCGGATACATTAGCATCACTTATTGAATCGACGAATTCAAACGAATCAGAAACACTATGCTTGCAGAGGTTATTTCTGATAGGTAGGAGGATTTCTGCGAGCCATTTGGCGGTAGTATGATATGAGGCCCGACCGATAGCTGCTACCTTGGCGTGGTGGTCGGGCTTGCATATCGCAATGACCCAACGAGCTACACTGGCTGGAACTTATGTTCCTGTAGGTCCTACTATGCCAGAAAGGTTGTTTGGATAGCGGTTAGACAAAAAGCAGCTATCCAATCCAATACTATGATTCAAACAAACTCACAAAATATCATGCCGGATCGGTCAGGGCCTGGATTAACAACGACCGCGCTTCCTGCTGCTGTGTCACAGGGCAGAAGTGATAAATATGCTACTGAGACACACCAAACAATAAAGAACAAACAAAAACAGGCCGCGTGTGACCGGCCTCAAGCAGTTGTCCCCTGGGCTCTGCGGTCACGCAACCAACTTCCACGGTGTGGGCAGCCGGGAAGTAACAATCGCCCTCACAATCCGAAGTGCACGCGAAACCTCTCTAGTCCTCACTCATCTTTGTCTTCATCTTCATCTCTATTATCTTGCCTTCCTTCTACTAATGCAACTCCTTTACTTGATGGCTCTTCACTTCCTCTTCACTCTGTGTGCACTGAAAACGACGGAAGCCAAAAAACCACCACCGATAGTCTCCTAAAACCACGCCACCAATTTCATATAGGAGCATTTAATGTTAGGACACTCTGCCAAATAGGACAACAAGCATCACTAGCCAAGACTCTGGCATCCCAAGCCATTGATATATGTTGTGTTTCAGAAACACGTATACAAGACCTAAGTGTGGTTATTCACCTAACCCCACCTGGCCAACAGGATGAATCTGCAAAATTCACCTTGAGGGTGTCAGGAGATGCGACAGCTAGCTCACGAGGATTAGCTGGTGTTGGGATAGCTTTGAGTACTAGGGCAGAAAAGACATTACTTGACTGGATCCCGGTAGATAGCCGAATGTGTGCTGTCCGTCTGAACGGATCAGTAAAAAGGAGAAAGGACTGCACTATTCACCGATGCCTTTTCGTTATCTCCGCCTACGCCCCCACTGACAGCAGTTCGGATGAAATGAAGGATGAGTTCTACCAAAAGCTGTCTAGTTTGCTGCGAAAGGCTAAACGCTCAGACATAGTTGTTTTAGCTGGTGACTTTAATGCTCAAGTAGGGAAATTGTGTCAATCTGAGAAGAATGTTGTTGGTGGCACATACGGAATTCCGTGCCAGCGAACCGACAACGGTGACCGTCTCCTACAGTTCTGTTCAGATAATCATTTGTTTCTTGTAAGCACTAACTTCAAACACAAGGAGAGACACTGTTTGACCTGGCGACCCCCATCATCGAACCAACGCTGGACACAAATAGACCACATAGCAATAAGCTATCGTCGGCGTGGGTCGGTAGGAGATTGTCGCTCCTTCTGGAACACGTGTGTAGATACCGATCACGCACTGGTCCGCGCTCGTGTGTGCTTACGACTGGACGGACGTAGGAAACAGCTGACG